AAAAATTTAACATAATTTTTTATTTCTTTCTTCTCAAGTTTAAAAAAAAAAAATCAGAAACTTATGAATAATGTGAACAAAAAATTATCTTACGAAAGGAAAAGCAATACATTTACATATTTATACTCGAATATTATTGTTATTGTTGTTAATATTATTTGTTAGATTTTAAATCTCTTTTTAGTGGATTTTTTAGTGGTCTAAATTAGTAAAACGTGGATTAAAAACAGATTTAAATAATTTGCAGAAGTCAAAATGACCAGCTAGGTAAATTATTTTGTACAAAAAGCTACTTGGGATGAAAAAGATGAGTGTATGGAAGAACATGCTAGATATTTTCAAAGAGTCGTAAATCAAATGGAGGACTTATTATCTATTAGGTTATTAAATACCTTGCCCGAAAAATACGAAAATATTCGTGTTGCGTTGAAAACATGTGACGAACTTCCAAATCTTAAATGTCTGAAAATAATAATAATGGAAAAGGATCGCTGCAGGATTTAAGAATTTGATTAGAATGACATGACGGAAAATTCTATGCTTTCTGGAGCTAAAAATATAACTTATAACAAATTTCAAAAAGATAGACCTCATCAAAAGGAATGTAACAATTTGAAGGTACCTGTTTTATATGCAAAAAGAAGGGTCGAATGAATGTCGAAATGTAAAATTCGCCTTATAATGAATGTATAAGGCGAATGAATGTCGAAATTTTGATAGTGTTACAAGGACTCATATTTGCAATAATAATAGTATGTTGTAAGCTTCCTAATGAAGAAGTAATATATTCAATTGATTTATATTGAATTATGTATTGATTTATATCGAATTATATATTAAATTGAATTATATACTAAAAATACATACGAATATAATAATAAAATTTTGATTAAAAATGTAATTTATGCACTACAATTTAGTACAAAAGTTGTAGAAAATGGATTTAAAGTGTGCCCGGTATGAGCCCTAGCTTGATTAACAATTCTCATCCACCCTTCTCGATCCAATTTTCGAAGCAAGATTCTCGGTCTTGCTTCAAAAATTCTTTTTGGACCCCTTGATTCATCCATTCGATTGAGATGTCCCAGCCACCTTAATCTTTGAGATTTGATGAATCTTGCTATATCCTCATTTTTTATAAGGTCCATTAGTTCTTGATTTGACCTTATTTCATACTCATTATATTCGTTCAATCTTGGTTCAAAAATTTTCCGCAGTATCTTTCTTTCAAAGGTTCTCAGATTATTTATATCACATTGCGTTAATGACCACGTTTCAGCACTGTAGCTTAAAATAGGGCGTAATGTTGTTTTATATAGTCGTGTTTTGCACGATTTTGATAGAATTTTGGATTTAAATAAATGTGCCATGGAGTAGTAAGCCCTGTTAGCTGTTAATATCTTTTGTTTTATGTCTTTATGTATGTCATTACTAGCATTTATTTGCGCACCAAGGTATGTAAAATTTTCAACTATTTCAAAATTGTATCATGCTTATAGTTTGGTCACTTCTTCGTAGTTGGAATCTTGATATCAACATATATTTGGTTTTTTCTTCATTAATCTTCAAACCCACAATTGCAGCGTTTTCGGCAAGTTCGGCAAAAGCTTCAATTAGATGTCTTTTATTTCTGGACATCAAGACTATATCATCTGCGTAGGCACACATTTGATAGGAACGTGTAAATATAGTGCCACCATTATTTAATTGTTTTATTGAACGATGCAACATCAGATTGAATATTAATGAAGAGATTTCATCCCCTTGTTTAACTCCAGACTTAATTTCAAAGGCGCTTGTATATTTATTTTGGATACGAACTTTCGCTGTTGTGTTTCTTAGAGTCATTTCAACAAGGAGTATAAGTTTTTTCGGTATACCAAGTTATTCAAAGATTTGTCGAATTTTATCTCTTTTGATTGAGTCAAACGCTTGTTCGAAATCTATGAAAACCATGTGTAGATCGATGTTGTATTCTGCACATTTTTCCATTGTCTGTCTGACGTAAAAAATTTGGTCAATTTTTGTTCTCTGAAACCACATTGATAATCGGTTAAGATTCCTTCTGAATAAACTTTTAGTCTTCTAGCAATAATAGCAGCTAGAACCTTATATGTGACGTTTAGCAGCGTTATTCCCCTATAGTTTTGACAATCCGTTTTACTACCCTTTTTGTGTATGGGCATGATTATACCATTCCGCCATTCATCTGGCATTTGGTTACTTCGCCAAATCCCCACAATGAAGTCGTGAATTTTTAAATACAAATTTTCATCCCCCGCCTTTATCATTTCTGCCGCTATTATATCTTCTCCAGTTGCTTTGTTATCCTTTAATTTTAATATTGCACTTACGGTTTCGTCATATTCCGGCATCTCAACTCCCGTTTCTTCTCTAAAAATTTCTAGCTCATTACTATAGTTTGGTTGATCCCCATCCATATTATACAACTCACTGAAATATTCCTTCCATTTGCTTACTATTTCTTGCTCTTCTGTAAGAGTGGTTCCATTTTTATCTTTTACATTTGTTGTTGGAACCCTTTTCTTTGTATTTTTATTTTCCTATAGAAATCTCCTTCTTTTTTGCTTGTATTTATTATGCGCCAATCTCGTTTTTCTTTGCATCCACATAAATTCTAGCATCGTTCCTCTATGTTATTGCATTTTTTATTGCATCCTGACATTCTTCATCAAACTACTCTTGTCCAGCGCGAACTCTCTTAACTCGTAGACATTCCTCCTAGGAAACCGGAGATGACCAACTAAATAATGAATCAAAGCAGAGATGATTTGCTGAACTGTAAATGGATCTAAAATTTCAGCGAAGGTAAGTTGATTTCCAATTCAGTTTTTACTTTGTATTAATACTCATGCCTTTTTGTTATTTTTCAGGTTAAATTTTTCACAGAAAAAATATCAATGCTGATCTAAGGAACGAATGTTTATTTCAGATAATATGTATCCCAAATTTTAATTTTGTAAAGTATATTTTTTTGTGTTTTTTTTTATCTCTTTTTAGGTACAGGGGCCGCCAAAACATTTTCCGGCCTTGGCAGCATTGACTTCTTGATGTGAAGGATTGCCAGTATGACGTGTGTTTTAATGTAGTTTTAATGTTAGCTAAAGCGTGCTTAATTGGAATTTCATAATTTCATTTATTTTAAAATACAATATGTCGAATTTGGAAACTTATTTTGGGTAGTGGCAAGACGACAGTTACGTTGCACTTTCAATTATTGGTACTGCTATTACTGCTACTGTGTTTTCCAATCAAACGAAGTGAAACGAATTTTATTAATTGTGCTCACTGGTAACATGGTATGCTATTGACAACTTTCCATATAGCACGACCATGTTAAGCTGGACGACCTGTTTAAGTGAGTCATAACCTATATAACTGGTTCATGCGACTAAGTAAAGCTAGATGAGCAGTTAAGGTTGATGAGACTCGAGTTCGAAGGGGAGTTTTGTTGGCAGTTGGGTTTCATTTGACCTGGAGTTAAAAAAAAAGGCGAAAGCAGTTTTTAAGGTAAGTCGTAGGCCAGATTTCTTTTTGGGAGCTTAAGAGTTCAGGAAGTTGGACATGACAATAAATGTTTTCATAAAATATAAGTTAATGGGATATGATAAAAAGATGTACATATTATTTCTATTGGTACTCCGTGTAAGAATACTATCTAGTGCATTTTTACCGACCGTATTGTGTATACAATAGGTATGTTATGTGATGGTAACAAATTTTGCATATCGAGTTTTCGGTGGAAATGCACTTCTCCATAGTAGGGAAGTGTAAGTAAACTATTTTTAGCAACCTATTGGTCCGTCGGTCTGTGTGTACACGCGTGTATCTCAAGTTCTGCTGAACCGATTTTGATGAAATTTTATATGTAAGTTTATTTCCACCATGGCACGGATTTATCAACTTTTGGGATATATCAGGCCTCGGGAACTGCACTTTTTACATTTTTCAACATTTGGAAGAAAATATTCAACCGATTTTCTTGAAATTTCATATTATATAAGTTTTGCTGGACCGGTCGCGAAAATTCCTATATTTTGGAAAAAATCAGGCATCAGCAACTGGATGTTTAGTACGGGCCAAATATACATTTTTGTGTACATAAGGAAAAATAATCAACCGATTTCATTGAAATGTAGTATATGAATTCCTTGTATTAAAACAATGAACATATAGATTTTTTGGAAAGATCAGGGCTCAAAAACTGATTTGCGGGCCGATTTTATTTTTTTTCTCTATCTACGGAACGAATTGATGGAATTCCTTGAAATTTGATATTTGAGTTCCGGTTGTTACCAAAACTAACAGGCGAGCATTTCAGGGAATTCGGGTAGCACAAAGCGAAACTCTACTAAGAGCCAAATTTGCATTTTTCTAGGTATGTTAACTATAAGTTTACTAATGTCCTAAAAATTAGAAAGAAGTATTTAACAGACATTGTTATAATATTCTGTAACACTTTCGCTTAACTAGACAATACACATTGCGGTCGGTTATGTGCTGACCACATCAGATTTTCATTTTTTTTATTATTATTTTGAAGAAGAATGTAGAAAAAACAAAAAAGATAGCATTTTTTTCTATATTAAGATTAATTACATCTTATTTTTTATTACTTTTTTTTTGCATAAGTAAAAAGTAACAAGAAAATAATAGCAATTAAAACTATTCCTACTGGTATGTAAACTTTTTGCATGTACCTGGTAAAGCATAAAACTAGTTGGTTTATAATATGCATAGTCTAGTTAAGAATAAGAAGAAATTCTCTAAAATTTGAAAACAACAATTTTTATTATGTAATGTAAAATTTTATTATTTGTTAATATACATTCATATGTATAGATGTTATATGCATACCATGTTTTTAGAATTTATACAAATCTTTCCTCAAATATAGTTTCAAGGTGGTTATTGCTGAAATAAGAGGTTTAATTTCTATTTTAATTTTTTTGTTATTTAAACAAAAAATACTTAATAAA